CAACTGAATGATATATTTTATCCATGTCTTCGACTTGATGCAAGTAAAATAACTTAGTTTTGTGTTTGAGTTAATTTCGACCTGTGTGCGTAGGAAAGAGCGTTCACCATATAGCATGTTRTGAATATGCGTTGCACATAAGATGGATTGGTCTCCCTGTACTGAAAACTGATTTTCGAAAGCACTTTCAAGTTTGAACTTAAAAGTTTACTTCACCGTATGCCAGGTATACTGACAGCCTCGTTCCCAGGGCATTTTTCTGATAGTAAAAAGAGTTCCTGGAATCGTACTATCAAAAATGGATTTTGATTTGCTAGCTTGTTTTTTATTTTACTTTTTATTTTTATTGTTAAATTTCTTCAACGGAGTGTTCTATAATACTGGAATAGAACACATGTTCAGCTACGATCGTTAATGCTAATTTCATCACCTCTTTTTTTGTCATTATAGATTTATATAAAAATGGTTTACAAAGAAGTAATTTTATTCCCTTTATACCAGTATTAAAGGTAAAATCTTAATCTACCAGAATATCCTTGTACTGAATAATACATACTAATTTACGAACGAACCAAAGAACACGTGCACAATTCAAAATTACAACTAGCTCTTGGCAGTCACTTTCTAATTATTCCTTATATATACCTTAGTGTATCGTATAATCGTGCATATCTCTTTGTATTCCAGAGTCGATGCAATATTTTATGTTTGGATTCTGGAATAGATTATAGAATGAGAGGTAGGTAAGGGATCGGTCATTACAGGCAAGGGACCGGTCATTATCTATTGCCAGGGATGGAAGTCGTGGAATGGGTGGGAATAGAATTAGAATAGAGGGATTTGCAATCATGAGGTTATTTTTGTGTTGTTGTTGGTGCATTTGATGTTTTACTTGTCAAACAAGCTGTCTGCTTACCTGTCCGTCCTTCCGTTTGTCTGTCTGTCTGTCCGTTCTTCCGATGTTTATCCGACGTCCGTCCGACGTTTGTCTGCCCTTCCGCTCTGATTTCTTCTGCTTTCTCTATTTTTCGCTGTACCCAGTGTTCCAGAGGTTGGCCGACCTTRCKGCMTCAAAAAACGGGGCTTCGCGCTATAAATTAGGAAGGAAGAGTAAGAAATCCAGCCTCTGTAACCCTGGTACTTATAAACTCAACCCTTATTTCATGTTTCAGACATCGTCCACATAGGAAAAGTGTACTTTAGGTAAGAGAAGCATGTTATTTCCACAAACCAGCAAAAAATATATACCAATTTGCTCTTTATTTGGCCTTTGTTAGTTCTCATGATAAGAAAACAGAACAAGAGTTAGACTGGATCTTCTCAAACATGGCTGAACAAGAAGCCTTAAGTAAGTGACTTGTCACTAAATGTCTATATGTTTTTATAATTTATTGTTGTTGTGGTCTGTTTGTGTTTATTTATTATTATTGTGTATACTTGTGACGGTTTTTAGGTTATGTTTATATTGTGAGCTGGAGAAAATTGATCAATACTGAAAAATAATTGTCTAATCTCTCAGACGTTATGAGGCTAGTTCCCATTTCTCTCTCTCAGTGTGGTTTTCAAATAGGATTTTTGGAATGGCCTGTGTATGGTATTAAGATACGCATTGGATTGGATGAAACAATTTATTTTTTTGTAAATGAATGTCATTTTAATCTTTCAAAATTTTGGATTATTTTGTTTTTATTTTTTATTTGTTYATTTATTTATTTTTTAATGATATTCGACTGGACTGGAATGGCTGTGGGAGCTCAGTTTACTACTTACTGGAAAATTTTTATCAAAGATGAATGCTGTTCTTTTTATCTGACATGCAATATTTCGGTAATACCAGGAAGCCATTTGTACATAATTTTTCTGTCTTTTCTGACAGTGTATGAGCCGCATAATTTACCTGAATGGCGTATTGCTTGTTTTTTTACAAAAGCGATACTCCAAATTTGCCTGGACTCCGAGCGATGGTGATTTCAAAGGCAGCTGGTCTAGAATATTCTAACAGTTTTATGTTTTTGATTAGCTCGGGATACATGTTCATTAGAATTGATTTGTTAATTGTCCATTTTTCGTCCATTTTTTTTTTTGTTAATTGTCCAAAATTCTAACAGTTTTATGTTTTTGATTGGCTCGGGATACCTGTTCATTAGAATTGATTTGATAATTGTCCATTTTTACTTCATGTTCATTTACTCATTTATTTTTTTTTTTTTCAAAGTTGTTTTTATTATTTTTAAGTTGAAAACTTCGTGCAGAACATTTTTTTTCTTCAATTCTTTCTTATTCCAGTCATATTTTTAGTTTTCAATTTATCAACAAATTAAAGGAGATTGTCTTGGACTCCAAGTTATTTATTGGTAATAATATTATTCATACAAGTTCATGTACTCCGAGTTAAGGATGAACTAAACGTTGCAAAAAAAACAGCAAACACACACAAAAAAAGTTTTGACAACGAGTCCAATGTTGTCCCTTGATTTAAGCAACTATTTACAAACTGAACTGTTTCACCTACACATCTATTGGACAGTCTGAACGGTTAATTAACAGTGAGTTTAAAGGTTTCGTAACAATGAGGTCCTATTTGCAACTATCTACAAGCCAGTAATTTAAGATCAACACAAGCTAGAAGGCCGGCTAAAGGAACGTATTGTCGAGGCATTGCTGTTTAACTTATATCTACTATCCTTAGAATGTAGAATGAATGAAGAGTGAATGAAATAGAATTACAAAGATGTGAAATAATTACAGAACGGTGAGAAAAAAAAAACATGATGGTTTATCTACGACTTGGTACACGAGTCTCATGATTTAACATCGTTTTTCTTTCTGTCTTTAGTTTTCTTGGTCTTTGTCAATTCAGAGTGCAATTGTTAATATATCCACTAGTTATTAAGCGGTCACTGTTTTTTTCTGTTTTTAAGTTACATATCTTGTTCAATGGTTCAGTAATTTAAGAATTTGAGACATGCTTTCCTGATGTCTTGGCTGGTTCCAATGTAAACAGCAGGATTCACTAGATGTGATAAAATTCCAAAGCAATGAATCAGTGGTTCGAAAACGTACTGCATTTCTTCAAACTTGTTCTTTATAAGAACAAAGAGGACAAGCGGGAAGATTCTTGTAAATAGAAGGCCTATGCCAAGATATGCTGCTGCTTCGGCTGCTTTTCTTTCTGATTTGGCAAGACGTTTCGTTTGCAAAGTAGGTTGAATGTTTAAAGTTTGTTTCTTCTTTTGACATGTTTGATTCTGAGGGTTTTCTGGTGTCACTTTATCTTTCCTCAGACTGTCTGGTGCTACGGTTTGCACTGAATGGTTTTCTGATTCAATACACGCACTTAATTTCCTTTTGGCATTTTCAGGGATGTTTTGGTCATGAAATTCACTTTGTTGCTCATGTGGTCCTAATTGTTGTTCATGTGCTACTTGTTGTTCGTGTGGTCGTGGGTGTCCTTGTTCTTGATTGTCGTTTTCTGTGTTCTGGGGAACGTTCAGTCGTGGAATATTTTCCTCTTTAAAATTTTGGGAAAGCGATTGATGTTGATGACGATTAGTTTGTTCAGCGGTGGGTTTGTGCGTTTGGTACGAACATCGATTCATTTCTTTTTCCTTTCTCTTCTTGATGGCCCACTTTATCAAAACTGCAAATGTGAACATGAAAGCCCAAGAGCAAATCAGCACGAAATACATAAGAATCTGCGCTATATCTGTGAAGCTTGTGGTTAGAGTAATACCAACACCAACTATACAACACCCAACAGAAACCTTGAAGATGCGTCTTTTCGTGATATGTGACCGATGCCATATGGGATATTGCAGGCTGATAAAACGTTCACAGTTCATTGCCGCTAATAGCAACTCACTCTGAATAAACAGGTTGGTGTTAATATAAAGAAAAATCACATAGCAGCTAGGTTCAAGAGTTTTCTGGTAAATTACCTCCATGGATAAGAATAAGGGAGATGCGAGAACACTTCTGATGAAATCAGCTAGCGCAATGGCCATAAGAAATACATTTCCTTTTTTCCTCAAAGATGGATTCTTGTAAAAAGCCAAAAGCACTAGACTGTTGATTAATGCCGCGAACGGACATGTGARGGCGGTTGTTATGATAGCAAAAAGAGACGTAGCAAAGGACGCCGACGTTGCCTTATTGGGATCCTTTAACTCGCCAAATACTCTGCAAACAGCGAGTATCTCTGAAGAGGACGAGTAGCTTGGTGTGCTGTTCGACATTGTTGYTGTCTTCTCTGACTATCCTGTACGTACACTTCGATTTATGCAAATCATAAAAGAGAGACACTACCTGTATTATACTTTTAACATTATTTTTTACTTCCTCTCAAATGCAATATATTTTTCCCTTGGAAAAAAGAACAATAAGTTCTTGGATCTCTTAATCCTTCTGTATCCGTTTACAGAATATAGGTTATCAATTGATTGAACATGTAGGCTTTGTTTTCTGAACTAATCTTGATCGTTAAATTCAGTGTTGTGCAATTGGATAAGTTTATTTAAGAGAAAAACGTTTTCGGGTCGCAAAAGCTAACCAAGCTAACGCCCAAAGAAATTTCTCAGGAATTCAAATCATGTTTTGTCATATTCGATGAGTATTTCAAGAGCTTTTCAATATCAAATTGTTTGCCGTTGAAATMTGGAACCATCTCTGATAAGGCGCTAAAAGTGGAAAGTACAGAAAGATCTCTTCACTATACTTAGTCAGATTCGAAACACGTTGGGATACCTTTGCATCTTTTAAATGTCTTTATGCTCTCGTTACTTTTCGGGATTTCTTGTACATTTTTATTATTTGTTTATAGTACAATTGAATCTCCTGTAAACAGATACACTTGGGAAAAAGAAAAAAATCTTTTTGTTCATCTGTCTGTCGATTAAGTGGGAATTAAATACAGTATTTGTATGAAGGAGAAAAAAAGCAGGTTTTCGGAATGCTGTCCATCATTAGAGCTAGCTGAGAATGTTAGGATATGAGTGGCGATTCGACTGTATTGCTCGTTTCCAATCATTCCCATGAGATAAAGACATTTTGGATGAATGTACAATAGATACTAATGAGAAATCCTTCGTTGAAGTACCTCCAAGATGGCCGCTGTGACGTATAGTGAAAACGATAATATGTTAATTTTATTGTATAAACTTCAATGAAATAGTAACAGGAAATCTCCAATATTGAAAAAATGATATCTTTCACAATGTGAAATGACAGGTGGATACTCCGTACAAAATTGTATTATTTCTTGCCTTAAGTAGAGCAAACGCACGAAAAACATTTTACAAAATTTAAAAATTAAAACCAAACTAAATACTAACAAATAGCGGTTATTTAGAGACAATTTGTCAGTGATTAAGATGAATCCACATYACACAATTTAAATTGTTGGTTTGTGTCGATTCATAGTTGTATGTTTTTTTGTCGCACAATAAATTAGTCTCATATGTTTCATCTCGATTGTTTCTGGTTCATTAATACTAAATAGCTGCTATTTGTTAGTATTTAGCTTGCTTTTATTTCATGGTTTTCCTGCGTTTGCTCTATAAATTTGAGTGTAGACAATACAGTGTAACTCGCTTCGTAGCCTGTGTACATCCGTTCCCACCCCTCCCCCCTACCGGGAATAATCGGGGAGGAAACGTCGTTTCCTCCCCGATTATTCCCGGTAGGGGGGAGGGGTGGGAACGGATGTACACAGGCTACTCGCTTCGCTCACTCTTGAGATATTATGGAACACTACTAGGCGATAAAATCTATATTTCCGCGCGACAATGTAATATCCTTTATTTATCAAATATATCRTGTTTATTACAGCTGGCGACATTGAAATCAAGCCTCGAGATATCGAAATAGTGCCGGGTGGCCGGACCATCCATGCACCCATAACGTGCGGTCGAATAGCGGACTTTACATTTGAACAACTGTGTATGAAGGTAAGAGATTACTCTTCATGTCTTGTTCTTTTATTTATATACCTTAATGGCGAATGTCGATTGTCGAACGGCGATTGCACGGCCGATAATAGCCATAGGTTCTGCTAACTGARGGGAAACTAGACGCTCAAAAGCGTTTWCATGGGCTTCCTGTGTTATTTACGCCTGGACGGYATGTGTCCTACTCCATCTCAAAATTACATCTAGCTGCAAAGTGCCAGTTTTAAAAATACCAGTTTTATAAATGTTTACATTACATACATCAACAGTTAGCAGTTAGAGCGGATTTCGTATGATTGGGACACCGTTACCGCACAGTTACCGCACAGTTACCGCACCTGGCCTGCAGAATTTTGGTGAACCAATGGGGCACTAGAATTTGGTTACAGTACGGTTACGGTCACAGTAAAGTACCGTCCGTTTCCAACTCATACGAAATCCGCTCTAGCAAGGTTCTACGAAAAGCTTTCAACAGAATAATATTTACACCGATCAACGTTGGAAACGAAGTGCAATGATTTGTAAGCTTACATWAAGACCATAAGAAATAATTGAAAGTATTGATTTACTAAACTGAACTATTGACGACATGGAATATCGAAATATAAATCCAATCGCTGCTTTCTTGTTCAATTCGCCTTAAATTCACCGTAAATTCCTTGCTCATGAAGATTCCATAGCATCAGATGTCTTCGTTTCAGCATTGACAGAGTCAGTTTTCATGTCAGTTATTAACGTTCCGTTAGTTTTTAAGTAGCTCGRAGTGATATTTGGAACGTAATTAAAAACGRGTCAGTTAGATAAATCTTGAAACGACTCGTTCGAAATGTACGCCTCTTAGCACGTAATTTTTTCGACATCTTCATCGTTCGTAGATCGACCAACCATGTGACAACTATTCTTTTGGGTCYCTGTGGTTCAATTCGCAAAGCATCATGGGGGACTATACACAACGTTGATAGATAGATTGATTGAAGTAAAGGTATATTAAGACATGAGCTTCCACAGGAAGCCCWTGTAATAACAACTGATTTATAATTTAAATATAGTCTGTAGTAAATATTGGCTCCATTTAGTCACTATTTCTATGCATAAGTGAAACTTTATTTGTCAAAACAGTTTAACCAAGTYYTTTTCGGTCGTGCAGTCTCTCTTTGATGATCGTCGTTCGCCATTCTCCCCGACAACGTTTTTATGAAACAGATGTATGTTACCTTTTTGTTCTTTCTTTAATCTCTTTTGTGGTCTTATTACATAGCTGTTTCCCCTGAAACAGCAAAAACGTTTAACAGAAATAGAGGATATTACATGGGCGCGCGGAGATATGGATTTTATCTTCGAGTGTTGAAAAGATAGCGAACGAGTGAGAGGTTTTCAACACAAGAGGATAAAATTCGTATCTCCAAGCGACCATGTAATATTCTGTTTATCATATAATTATCAATAAAATCAAATTATGTTGTAAAATACCTTTTTTTCTTGCTTCCACTATATAGAGAAAACTCGAATGTGTTATTTTCACTAGTGAAAATATCAACTTTATGTAATGGAGAAATATAGGTATTTCATAGATAATTATATGATAAAAAAATATTAAATTGTCGTGAAGTTATAAGGGTTAGAACGTGCACAAAGCCTCAGCAAACAATTTCATATGAATCCCGTGTATTTCCAATCCTCCAAACCTCGTTAGGAAAGTCCATAGCTTCAAAACTATCCACAAATATAGCTATTTCTGATCGATAATTATTTCATGACAGTGTTATGTTTCCATAATATTGTCAATTGTATGTAATCAAACGTTTTCTTAAATAGCTGTATAAAACAGAACAGTCCACCTAAGTCCACCCATTGTCTAATCTAACATTCATTATGCGCAGCCTGTTGGTGCAGCTGACTACCTGGCTCTCTGTAAACACTTTGACGTCATCATGGTTCGRGATGTTCCACAAATGACTCTATTCAGAAAGACTGAGGCGAGACGGTTTATTACTCTGATAGATGCTTTATATGATAACAGGGTAGGGACCACAATCATTGTCATGCCTTTGATGTGCTAAACTTACAAATATCGTAGAGTCGTTGTACTATGATATTTTAAGTTACCGCGCCTTGGGGGAAGCGACTCCCATATGTCGAAGGGGCGAGATGATCGTTTTTTTTTTTCTTGTTTGTTTGTTTTGTTGTTGTTGTTGTTGTTTTTTTTTTTTTTTTTTGGAGGGGGTGGGGGAGTATCCCATCGCTCCCAACTCCGCCCGGGTTATCACGTCATATCGTAGCCCCTTAATGTCATGATAGTACCGATCTAATACGATAACTTGACCCTGTGTCAGTATGTTTCGTTATTTTGGACTTTTTTAGGTTCGGTTGATTTGTTCTGCTGCGACCTCGCCTGCGGACCTTTTCCAAGCATCACCTTTGAGTCCCAAGGATATCGAGGACCGTCGGATGTTAATGGACGATTTACAGTTGTCAACGGTGGGATGAAACATTCATTGTTATGCACTAGTCAATTGAAAACCCCGACCCCCGGGGCTAGCGGGGAACTGAACGGGGACGTGACGCGTTTTAAACGTGCTTTTAACAGCAAGATTGCCCCGGGGGTCGGGATTTCGAAGCGGGGCAAAGAGCGCGGATTTTAACGCGCGTTTGAACATGTATGAGGCTGGTAACTTCCTTTGCATGAAATGTTTTTAAAAGAAACTTATTACACGTTTTTCTCAGTCCAGTTAGCCTCATGTAGTACGCTAATGAGTACACAGGATTGTGCAAAAATTGACCCTKTGTATCACAGAAAATTTGATTGAAAGGTGTTTGTTTTGGTATTTACTACTACCAAAATAGCGCGGCAACAGTAGCGGGGATTTTAACAATTAATATGCCCCGAATACAGGGGAAAATGTCATATTTTAACACCACTTAAACATTAAATTCCCCGGTATTCTCCGGGGGTCGGGGTTTCAATTGACTAGTGCATTAGCGCATGCATACTACTCTTTTAACTTGTTTAATTGCAATCTCGAACCCAGACCCTCTGTCCCGTTTACTGCGCATGCTCAACGAAAAACAAAGGCAGCCTTGGTTTTTCGTCGAGCATGCGCAGTAAGAGGGACAGAGGGTCTGGGTTCGAGAATGGTTTGACTGATCAGTGAGCAAGGAATTTTAATGGCCTGGGGCTGGTTACACGATAAGCTCTGATGTTGTACGGGTTTTTTTTTATCTGCTGGATAACTATCTATCTCTAGATAGCCCCATTCAATCTTCGTACAACCTTCGTACCACTACCTAGTAAATCTGAACAAATATAGCTAGGCAATCTGTGCATTCCGATGCCCTTACGTAAGCATGCTTTATCTACGAGTTGTCATATTATAAGATCGCCTGTCACTCGGGGTACAATTTGTCAAGTTACCCCGCTGAATTCGGCGCAATTGTTTGATTGATTTTTTTATTTATCTACTTATTTATTTTTGTCGAAATGGCTGTTGCAAAGCTAATTTTCTATTGGTTGATCGCTAGGATAACATTGATGCCAATGCTAGTATATTTACCGCTGAAGAAGAAATCTTTGCATTCAAAAGAACAGTTTCTAGAATGGCAGAAATGCAGACAGAAGAATATTGGAAATCACAAACTCGACGAACACAAAAAGAGCATTGACAACGCTATAAGAAATTGGAACTGACGCTTTTTGCCAATAGCCACAGATTATTGGATGTCCGAGTGGGACGTTTACTAGTTTATTTTATTTTTTATTTTTACTTTAGTTAATTACAATGCAGTATTTGAATGAATGTCATATTTGACGATGATCCTCATTAATGAATCTATTTCCAACGAACGGCCCGGTGGGCATCCCATAATTGGTTTTAATGCATCAAGATGACGGTCTGATAAAAGTATTATTATTTTACATTCATAAAAATGTCTCGGGGATTGTGGAAACGATGTCAARCCGTTTTTAGTCGATGGAAAAACAACAAATCAATTTTGTATTAGCCCATATTTCCTGGATTTTTTTTAAATTAAGAATCTATTATATATTTATTATATCAAAGAATTGTTATAGACTAACAATCAAAAATAAAGTATTTTCATTGATAGACTTCTCTACTGATTGCTTCATTAATGCGCTCGAGTGATAACCGCTTTTGCTTATTATTTTACTCTTCTAGCCCCCTGTTCATTCCTCCCAGTCCACTCCTCTTTAATATACTGGACGTTGGTTATCACAACAAATGTACAATCTCAATTAGTACTATCGCTATTCTTGTAGGGGTTCTGCAAAGGATGAATAGCGCCATCCACCACATAAATCCTTATTTCAACAGATAAAAGCCATACAAAATCGACTGGAAAAGGACTGGAAAACTTATCCAGCCTTAGTACCGGCCCCAGGTCGCCCACTCAAGCATTGCTCAGAAGATTCGTACGTAGTTCTAGTCTAGTAGTACATAGTTCTAGTCTAGTAGGCTGGTACATAGTTCTAGTCTAGTAGGCTGGTACATAGTTCTAGTCTAGTAGGCTGGTACATAGTTCTAGTCTATCAAAAGTGACTTTGGTACACCTGGATAAAAGCCTCCAAATGATGAGTCGCTGAAGGTATCGAAGTCATGGTCGTCTGGTAAATCTGCAACATAGAAAATTTAAACTTACAAAGAAAAGCCTCTACCCGAGATACATGATCTACGGCGTGGTTCTCGCATGTACCGACCAAACGTCAAGCGTGAGTGTTTGTTGCTTATAAGCAAAATGGAAACAAAGCTGCAATATTCACAAATGCGTCGTTCCACTCATCATATCATTTGCATCGAAGACCACAAGTTTGACTTTTCTACTTAACAATTTTACCATACCTTGTAGAATTCTCGCGCGCTGATTGGTCGAGAGCCGTTGTCGATCATAGGACAGACCGATGAAATGACCAGACCATAGAAAAGCGATTTCGATTTGTTTTTTACCATAACAAAGCCGAAAACAAAGCAAAACTTTCAAAAAAAAAAACGTGTCTTGCGCGCGCCGGCTCCGTGCGCGAGCGATTCGTCATTTCATCGGTCTGTCCTATGATCGACAACGGCTCTCGACCAATCAGCGCTCGGGAATTCTACAAGGTATGGTAAAAATCGTACCAACATCAACCCATTAAAGAGACGACCACTACCGTCAGAACAAAGGACGAGATAACAAAAACAAAACGGGATTTGAAGGAGAATTATATTAAACAATGCCTATTGGTCTATTGTAGCCGAGTTTCCTAGAAATTTGGATGGACGACTTAGGGATTATATGGATAGCAATGGTCGAGCATTCCCTGATGACATCACACCGCAATATACCAACCTTATAACGATGTTTAGTATAACCTACCAGTAATGAAATCAATCGTAGGGATTGCAATGGTAGAGCATTCCCTAGTGACATCACACTACAATATACCAACCTTATAACGATGTATAGTATAACCTACCAGTAATGAAATCAATCGTAGGGATTGCAATGGT